AATTTTAGGTAGGATTGTTAGTAATATGAAACTTGTATTTCCCAAATAGAAGATGTGCGTAATCACAAGAGGTCCTTGCCGTCTTGTGGAAGAAGATTGGCCCCCTTATTTAAGGTGCAAGGAAGATTTCCCGCATAAGTGTAAGGTATGTACATGTCCCTAGCCTGTATATTTATGATTTGCAGGATATGAAAATGGTTAAAGAAAATCCTCAAGTACTTGAGTCTTACTGTTTGTTTAGCTGTGTCTGTGTATTGAGAAGGCCTGGAGGATGGGGGATGAAAGAATGACAAGAGAGAACTTGGATACAAGAAAGGAGAAGGGGGAATTGACCAAGATTCTTGTTTACTTTTTATTTTCTTAAGAATTATCAGACTTGTAGATAAAAAGAATATATTACTTTTAGATATCCATTCAGTAGTTTCTTGTTGTTTGTCACTGAACACACTCCAAACCTCTCACAGAACAGCGCAAGGGAACTCAAGTTCAACACGACTGGCCAGTGTGTTCCACCACTCGTTGCTACAGAAGAGGAATCTTCTTGGTATGAGGGAGTTAAAGGATGTGGCATACAGTGTGCGAATCCAATCTTCACTTCACAGGAGCATGAGGATCTGCACCAGTTTGTTGCCACAATTGGTGGGATATGTCTCGCCTGTGCTGCTCTGACAGTGGTACGTTGCTGGTAGTGGTGGTGGTGTTTCTTGGTGTAGGAAAATTATGTAGTTTGTTGGATGATGAAAATGAGTGGAATGGAACTTGCATTTGGAAGGGATATTTGTAGGTTGTATGCATATGAAAATGATGGAAAAGTTAATGTCTTTTCAAGCTCATTTTCCCTTGTCATATAAACTTCATGATTACTTACACATTCTTATTGCTCCTCAGCTCACATATTTGATAGACTGGCGTGCAGCAAACAAATATCCTGTGCTAATTATCTTCTACATCAATGGGTGCTTCTTGATAGCCAGCATAGGCTTCATGGTCCAGTTCCACCCTGGGGTACGTCAGGACCTGACTTGCCGTTCAGATGGCACTCTTCGACAAGCTGAGCCCAGGTAGTGTAGTGGTAATGTTTTGTTAGTGTTACTGTGTTTAAGAACCATTTTGTTTGTTAAGAAGAATATGAGTAATTGCTTTGCAAATACAGTGCTGTTCTCAAAGTTGTTTTTTTCAGCTACAAATGTGAATATATATTTGAGAGGATTTAGATTAAATATCTAAGGCTTTCTGTTGGACTTGTATTACATTAGTATATGATTTAGTTTTTATCAAATAATTATACTACTAAATCTGTACGGTTGTGTCAGAAGAGAATATCTTCTTCTTTTGTTGGTCAAGGATGGCACAACAAAAGAGTATATAATATTTGTTGAAAATAGAAATTAGGGTATATTATGCATTTTCTCCCAACAGTTCGGGTGGAAACCTGTCATGTGTGGTTGTGTTTGTCTGCATTTATTACTTCATGGTAGCAGGGGGAATGTGGCTGATTATCTTGGCATATTCTTTGCACACTAGCTTTAAGTCTTATGGTAAGAATGTGTTTCATTTTGCATGTCATTTTTATGGTAGAATGTCCTCTGTTGAGAACTGAAACACTTACATATTACACTGCAAGTTATTTTCTGATCATGGATGATGCAAGATTGAAGTAGCCATATTTAATAGGCATCAGTCATCCATACTAAAACTTATTGAATATAATATGAAGTAAGAAAAAAGAGCAAATAAATATCAATGCCTGTACTCCAGTTGCCATTGCCATCCACCATCGAGACACCACAATGACCTTGTTTTGCAGCAGCTGGTCTCTGTGGTGAAGAACTGGAGCGTCGTGCAGCATACTTCCACCTCATAGCCTGGTCTCTGCCTCTAGTCTTGACCATCACCATCATGGCCCTGGCAGAGGTTGAAGCAGACTCCCTTGCAGGCATCTGCTTCCTCTCCTCAGCAATCCACATTCGGATAGGATTCCTTCTGCTACCTGTCATTCTCATTGTGATCATTGGAGGATTCTTCTTGGGGAGAGGTAAGGATGTGAAGATTTCTTTTGGGGAGGGGGGGTCAGGGAGATTTGGTTGGGTTTTGTGATGAATGATAAATGAAGGAGTAGATTATTTAGTGTTATTCATCTCTTAAGAACTGCAACCCCCCAAGCTTATCTGTCCCAACCAGCTGCAAAAAGGGAATGATTTTTGAACCTTCACTGTGGCAAACTAGTTGTAGGCATTTAAGAGCACAATTTTACACCTGAAAATTTATATTTCATTGACAAATCTCAAATACAATGTATCAGTAGTGTGGAAAGTTGAATATGGTATCAGGGTAATCCCTCACAACTAAATGAAAAAAAGCAGACAGGATTTCTGTTGATATATGAAAAAAAACACATTAAACAATAAAGTGTGTACTGAGATGTATTTAAAATTATCTAGATTTATAGATAGTAAAAAGTCAGCGATATCCCAAGATTATTAGTGATAATGCCAACAGC